ATAAATTTTGATTCTTTAAAAACTAGTCTTTCTCTTGGTTACTGAGGTTTCTTGTTGTTGCTGGTTTCGTTGCCCCCTTATATTTTGTGCCCTCATCTTGGTCCCAGCCCAGCTCCTGAGGTTTTTCTTAGAAACCATGTGACAAGTCAGAGAGATAGTTGTGACAATGTTGAGTGACACATGCTGTGTGTCTGGGGATAGGTGCGGGGAGAGCTATGAAATCCTGGGAAGGACGCTGAGTCCAGTCTGGGGGGCAGGGAGAGATTTTTGGAGGTGGTGTCTGGCAAGAGATAGTGTGGGAAGGAAGAGGGCCCCTCAGCTGTAAGAGGAAGTAAGAAGGGGTGGGATGGTCTCTGGACAAGTGGGGGTGGGTAGAAAGCTAAGCTGGGCCAGGGTAGAAGGATTAGGGTTTAGTGCCTTCTTGGTGGCAGGATCAGATCTTTTTTTTTTAAATTGAAGTCTAGTTGATTTACAATGTTGTATTAATTTCTGCTGTACAGCAAAGTGATTCAGTTATACATATATATATATATACATACATACATACATACATACATACATACATATATATATATATATATATATATATATACATTCTTTTTAAAAAAAAAATATTCTTTTCCATTATGGTTTATCATAGGATATTGGTTTTTTTTGGCCACGCCATGCGGCATGCAGGATCTTAGTTCCCCAACCAGAGATTGAACCCATGCCCCCTGCAATGGAAGCATGGAGTTTTAACCACTGGACCGCCAGGGAAGTCCCTATCATAGGATATTGAATATAGTTCCCTGTGCTATACAGTAGGACCTTGTCGTTTATCCATTCCATATATAAAAGCTTACATCTGCTAATCCCAACTTCCCACTCCAGCCGTCCCCCAACTCCCTCCCCCTTGGCAACCACCAGTCTGTTCTCTATGTCCGTGATTCTGTTTCTGGTTTGCAGATAGGTTCATTTGTGTCATATTTTAGATTCCACACATAAGTGATATCATATGGTATTTGTCTTCCTCTTTCTGACTTACTTCACTTAGTATGATAATCTCTAGTTGCATCCATGTTGCTGCAAACGGCATTATTTCATTCTTTTTCATGGCTGAGTAGTATTCCAGTGTATATATGTACCACATCTTTGTTTTTTTAAATTTATTCTATATTATTTTTATTTACATGTATTACATAATTACATTTTTTTAAAGTTTTTTTAAAAAAACATCTTTATTGGGGTATAATTGCTTTACAATGGTGTGTTAGTTTCTGCTTTATAACAAAGTGAATCAGTTATACATATACATATGTTCTCATATCTCTTCCCTCTTGCGTCTTCCTCCCTCCCACCCTCCCTATCCCACCCCTCCAGGCGGTCACAAAGCACCGAGCTGATCTCCCTGTGCTATGCGGCTGCTTCCCACTAGCTATCTACCTTATGTTTGGTAGTGTATATATGTCCATGCCTCTCTCTCGCTTTGCCACAGCTCACCCTTCCCCCTCCCCATATCCTCAAGTCCGTTCTCTAGTAGGTCTGTGTCTTTATTCCTGTCTTACCCCTAGGTTCTTCATGACATTTTTTTTCTTAAATTCCATATATATGTGTTAGCATTCGGTATTTGTCTTTCTCTTTTTGACTTACTTCACTCTGTATGACAGACTCTAGGTCTACCACATCTTCTTCATCCACTCATCTGTCGACGGACATTTAGGTTGTTTCCATGTCTTGGCTATTATGAATTGTGCTACTATGAACATAAGGGTGCATGTATCTTTTTGAATTAGAGTTTTGTCTGGATATATGCCCAGAAGTGGAATTGCTAGATCATATGGTAATTCTATTTTTAGTTTTCTGAGGAACCTCCATACTGTTTTGCACAGTGGCTGCACCAACTTACATTCCTATCAACAGTGTAGGAGGGTTCCCTTTTCTCCACACCCTCTCTAGCATTTGTTATTTGTAGATTTTTTAATATTTATTTTATTCATTCATTTATTTTGGCTGTGCCAGGTCTTAGTTGCGGCACGTGGGATCTTCTTTGCGGCATGTGGGATCTTTTTAGTTGCGGCATGCATGCGGGATCTAGTTCCCTGACCAGGGATCGAACCCCAGCTCCCTGCATTCGGAACGTGGAGTCTTACTCACTGGACCACCAGGGAAGTCCTTGTAGACTTTTTAATAATGGCCATTCTGACCGGTGCAAGGTGGTACCTCATTACGGTTTTGATGCTCAGATATTGGTATGGATTTCTCGATGGATAGGAGAGGAAGAGTATGGAGGGAAGACCAGTAAGGAGGCCTTGGCATTTGTACAGGCAGCAGTTCTCAAACCGAGGTCCCCACACCAGGACCTTCAGCAACACTAAGGCATTATTAAAAACTGAGTGAATCGCCAACTCTGGAGGGTGGGGCCTCCAAATCTGTATTGACTCCAGGGAATTCTCAAACCTTCCCATTTGAGAACCACCAGTCTTAAGGTTCTCGACCCTAAAATCCCACACCCCTTTTACAACTAGTGTGTGATGACTCCTTTTCTCATTGGCAACAAATTCATAGATGATAAAGCCCACCTCCACATGTAATGTGAAAAAACAAAATCTATAATGCCCTAACATAAAAGGAAAATGCATCATGATGAAACAACATCCATTTCATTATGTAAAATCTTGGGCACAACTCCCCTGGAGGACACGGGGAAGTCTCAGTAGTGTGTCTGTTTTTTTTTTTTTTTTTTTTTTTTTTTTTG